AAGGTAGATAGTAGTAGAAAGTATAAGTAGATGCGAGAAGTGATGCCACAACGGGTGGATGGAAAATTGCCTTCCCTTGTCACTTTGATAAGCTATAATTCTGTGCATACGATGGCGTCTCTCACTGACGATGCCGAGGAAACGCTTGAAAATGTATCCAACCAATGTTAAATGCTGGAAATCACGAATACTATGGCAGAGGACACAGGACCAGGTACGTTCCACGAGGTCTCCCTGACGCTCCGACCAAGTTGCGAAAACAAGGTCGAAAAAACACTATAAAGCTAAAGGATACTACGATAAAACAGAAGGCCACACAATCTTGGTCTTCATATCTACGATCCCAGACGTTTCGCCAGCATCGTCAGTGAGAGGCGCCATCGTTAGCACAGAGGTACAACTTATCATTGGCAGGTAAGGGCAACCCACTTGACCCATTTTCTTTACAGTCGTTGTAACATCACTCTTCGAATACACACGCAAAATGCAGATGAACACACACACACGCACACTGGAGACTAACTGATATTGTGAAATCCAGGTCGGTATACACACCCTGAGGAATTTGATAGGGACTCATATCTTTAGCCTAGCTCATCTAATGATGTGTAATCTGCACATTTCTGAACTCTCATTTCTTATTCCTATCTCCCAGCACACAGGTTGACCCACACCGGTAACTTCAGGCTGATTCCAGTTTTGATTCAGCTCACTGTAATCGCCTCTTTTTGACTTTCATTTGTCTCTTATGATCCTTTTATCGGTGATGCCTCTTCCAGTTGTTGAATAGATGTACTTGGCTCAAAAGTCTTCTTTTTGCTTTCAGTTTCAGCAAGGATAGCAAAAAGAAGATGTTTGGCCCAACGACACCTATTCAAAAAGTGGAAGGGACATCGCCAAGAAAAGGATCATGAGGGACAAAGAAAAGGCGGTTGCAGTGAGAGGAGTCAAAAATGAAAGAATTAACCGGAAGAGTTACCGGTGTGCGTCAACCTGTGGGATATAGGATAGAAAATTAAAGGCCAGAAAGGTGCAAATTATACACCATTAGAGGAACTAGGCTAGAGATATAGGTCCCTATCAAATTCATCAGGATGTGGATACCGACCTAGGATGGACAATAAAAGTTGGCTTCCAGTATGCGAGTGTGTGTGTACCTTAATGAGGTAAACGATGGCATGCCTAAGGGGGATACCAACCAACATACCCGTTGACAACTTACTAGAACCCTAGGATTATATTGGACTGTTAACTTGAGACAAGAGGAGTTTGATTTGTGATATTCATGAGTGGAAAAGGAAAGCTAAATATTTTTGCACAAGCGATCCAGAATTAAGCCGGACACAGGGCTCCAAAGAATATGATGCAATGGGAGTGTAGATGAGAAAGAAGATAAATGGGGGATGAGTCTGACGCGTATTGAGATAAAGATGTCATGGGTATGGCTATCATCGGATCTAATATTCGAAAAAGGCTTAAACGGGGGCGGGAATTGAAGGGTCATGGGCGGCAAGATTTATGAAGACCATACAGTGATTTTCATGTGTAAAAGGGACCAATTGGCAAGCGGGGTGGAAGGAGAGGGCTAAATGAAAGTCAGAAGCCATGACAAAGAAGCCATATAAACGACATCTAAAACCGATGGTGAAGGTGATTACTCCTCACTAAATACACTCGCGGTGACACATTGACAGGTGACAATGGAGAAAACGATAAGACAGAATTGCATGAATAGGTAAATGAAGTGGGGCTAAGAGAAAGAAATGCAGCACTAGACGGTAAGACAAAGACTAGGAGCGAGTGATGCCACAAAGGTTGAGCGGAAAACTGGCCAAGGGGATTGTCTTCACTAATCACTTTGATAACTTGTAACTCTGTGCTAGCTGCGGCGCCTATCACTGATGATGCCGGCGCAACGTCTGGGAATGTACCAAGTCAATGGTCCGATGCTGGAAATCACGAATACTATGGAAGAGGACGCAGGATTAGGTACGTTCCACAAGATCTCTCTGACGCCCCGAAAACGGGTTCAAGCCAACACAAAAAAGCTAAAGAAGACTGCCATCAAACAGAAGCCCACACCATCTTGGTCTTCCTATCTACGACTTAAGGACAGTTTAAGTTTCTACAATGAAGTAAGCTGCATAATAACGAGAAAGTTCACTAAGCCTTGCCTCATTCAGAATCGACTATAATTTCTAACTATCTTTAGAACTTGCTATCACATTATTTGCGCTAGATAATTTATATGATCGTATTCGGTGACATGTCACTGGCCACTCGTAAGATCCTCTATGCGAAACACTTGCCTGATCATTAGTCTGATGTAGCTCGGCTGGTCCAAATCCCTCCATGGGTGCGTGAGGTAATAGAGTCTTAGCGCTCGAAGGTAAAACCAGCAGCTCATCTACAACCTGGAGACAAGAGGCCATAGCATCTGTAGGTTTAGCATACTGACAGGGACCAAAGTTGGTCATGCCAGCTCCATCTGTGAATGCTGTAGTAGATGGCTGTAGGATGAAAGGCAATAGCATCGGGTCCCTCTGTAGACTCTGGAAAACCGAAAAGGAGTCAAATGTTGGCGTCTTCACGGCTTCACACAATTTTGATGGAGTAGAGTCAGATGAGACCAGGGATGGGGTTCTAGTCTCGTAGGTGGATATAGAAAGAGAGGCCAAGCTATGGGAGCTAGGCCTGTCATCGCAGTGATAAAGCTGAGAAAGTGCGGCATGAGGCCGTAGAAAAACCCCGCGGGAGACAGGTGGAGGCGACATACCCAAAACAGATATCTGTGAAGAGAGAGGTGATAAGGAGAGTGAAACAAGGGCTTTGAAATAATTGACAATTATGAAAAATGAACCAGGTTACAAAAAAACCAGAAAAGGAAGTGGAGCCGAAGAGCACAACCAGATTAGGAATATAATTCGATCTCAAACAAGCAACGGGGTTTAATCTGCCTAGAGTACACGAATCATGGGGCAAACCCGAATAGATGTTTCAGGGGATGCAGAGCAGCGGAAGATAATGAGAGAAGGAAGAGATCGTAATGACTTTTACACCACAATCCGTTTGACCACATCTCTCGTGGTTATCTCTCAACTCATGTAAAAACAAAGCGGAGCATGACTCATTAAGATCGGCAAAAATAAGATTGGACAAAGGACACAATTGAGATAGCAGGGAAGGGCATCACAAGAAAGA